GAGCACACAGCTGGTAGCTTTTCCGGCTACGTTGCTGTGCTAACCTGGCACGCAGACCTAACTAGAGCTAACCTGCTGGCTGACTGGAAAATGTGACAGCCACATTGAATGTTTTACTAGGCTAACAACTCGCCATAAAAATGAGGAGCTTGAGGGGAATAATCAGTTTAAAGGGTTTAGAAAATAAACAATCCGTATAATTGCAGTCACAATAAATATTCCCAACTTTAGGGTTTTAGTGAGTTTGCCTTCACTGGAGATTTTATGGTGAGTAAACACTGGTCGGCTTAAAAGATGTTTAATTCTGAGTGCATTCTCTTGGGTGTTGTTTGGCTATGGATGTCCATACATCGTTTATTGCATTGTTACTAGTCTCTTGGGGTTAAATTGGTAGGTTAAGGTCAGGAGGATCAGAATGCTGCCCTGGAGTAAATAGAGGGTAAACATGTTGTCTATTGATTGAAGTGTTCATGAACAGTTTGTGCTTCCTTCCACAGATTAAAAGTTGTTCAGACTTTTTCCACACTCACTCTAAATTAAAGGTGCGATGTCTATGACACACCATATTGTAACAGATAAACTACAGTACATCAGTTCTGTTTTAATATTTTATGTCTGACACAAGAGTGTGGAAACATAATTTTGGTTGTGTGCCAAGTGTCGGTGTGTTTTTGATTTCTTTATATTAGACACTGAGAAACTTCAAGCGATATTCTTTATAGCTAAAGACTCGAATACACTACACTTCTTTACAAAATTACTCCAGATTTTAAAACCCTAGGTATCATACACTTGCTGACTTCGTAAATGCTTACAGAAAAAATTGGGTATCATACCCTAAGGCTGTATTTACACTGCAGTTCTTGATGTCCTTTTTAAATTTGTTGACTATATCGGATTTTTTGACGACCAGCTTACATCTTTTAAAAGTGACCCATATCCGATATCTGCTTTTACATTAAACCATTGGCAAAACATCCCAGGGTAGATGTACTTATAGGTTGCAAGGTATGCAAAACAAAACCAGTCCAATTGACCCTTTGCAAAGATCTTGATTGACAGGCGATCTAACCAATCATAATGCTGAATCCACCATTTTGTCCAACAAACAAGTCAGACAGGACAGTATAGATAACTTTGGTGGACTTAAACTTGAAAAATTGTGTGTATAATTTTTATTATAATGAAGTGTATAATAATGCAATGCAAATCGACATAGCCGTTACCACTGTTTAGAATACTATGAAATATGTTGCGTGCCGTTCTGTGTAAGAAGCCACATCATCTCACAGAAGGATTTATTTCAAACACTTGACTGATGTTATGAAGTGAGTTTGGAATAAAAACATGTTATTAAATATGGTATTTTCACATGCTTTCAGGTGGAGCAGCATTTACTACACAGAGTTGCAGTTCACTGAGAAGCTACGCAAACAGCTTTCATAATAGCAGAACGATTTCATATATTTCAGCCCTCTACGAACACCTTGGCAATTGAATCGCCATTGGCTAGTAAATTTTTTAGTTTACTCACCAGACTGATATATATATATATATATATATATGTATGTGTGTGTGTTTGTTTTATAAATATCTGAAAGTACACTCTTAACATCAGTCAGTCAAGCATTATAATATGATCAATATATCTAATATTGATTATCAGTATTATTATATTACATAATCAATATTTATTAATGATAGAACTTTAGTAATTAGAATTAAAACTTGATAACCATGTATGAATGCATATTAGTCATTTTAACTGAACTTCTGACTGGTGGTGGTGCTTTTTTGGTCATTCAGTGTTTCTGTAAAAAAATTGGGGGAAACTAACAAAAAAATACTAATAAGATAATAATGATACGAATTCTACTAATAAGAACAATATAAAACGCACCAAGGATTAATGAGTTCTTAAAAGTTGAAGAATTCCAAAGGAACTCCGTTATTTTGACAGCAAAATACAACAAAGAATATCGTTTACATGTAGTGCGCATAGGCAGCGCGTCAATTCTCTCTCTCCCTGTCTCGCTGCGTGTGTGTGAAACAAAGCGACGGCGAGTCGTGCGCTTCACATTAGAGTTTACATACAGGTTAAATACATGTTAAATACATGTGCGTTGCACATCCATTCAGATGAACTGAAAAACAGCCCAGATCGCTTGACGGAGAGTGAAACTGATGCGCTCAGTCAGAGAGTGTTCGGCGAGTGAAAATATATCTGAGCTAAACTTATACTTAGCCTCCAACTCACACACTGGCGAGTAAAATCTGAGAATTTATTAGCAATTGGCTAATATTAGACATCATTTAGTCGCCCAGAGTGAAGATTTAGTCGCATATGCGAGTGATTTACTCGCAATGTAGAGGGTTGTATTTCATAATTGCCCAATTAAATTGGTCTGCGATTATGAACGCAGTTTTGCGTAGCTTGTCAGTGAACTACGGCTCTGTGTAGTAAATGCTGCTCTATCTGAAAGCACGTGATGGAGATTTACTACTAATCACAGAACCGGCTTTACTGACAAGATGCGCATGATAATCGCATTCGATTCATTGTGCAGCCCAAGTATTGACGTCTTTCCGCGGTTGAAATAAAATACATTCTGATGTTCATTCATGTTTATTTCATGCTTTAAATAAATATGAAAAGACGATCTGTTCACGTGCTGCTTGAACTGAGGCAATACAGTGATCTGTCACGACACATTAACGGGCCACAAAACGGTATTTATTGTTTGAATTTCTTACAAAATGACAAAATTTGAAAGCTCAGACTTTGTTTCATACCAGAAGTAACCTGCTCTGTCTTTTCTGTTGGCTCCGCAATGTATTTTTCACTGCTTGAGAAACATGTGTGAGAGCGGCAATGGCTTGTTGGACATGGCAACAGTAGCTAAGGAGGACGGGTTTTTGCAAAGGGTCAATTGCTATTCAAAACTAGCCCAATCCAGGGCTCGCAAAATTTAAAAATCCCTGGTAGGCCTTCGGGCAGGTACTCTTCAGATTTTGGTAGCCCGAAAATTAATTTAGCTAGCCCAAATAAAAAAACACCTTTTTTTTAAATATAGAAAATCAGATAGGAGTTTAAATGTCAATCAAAAATATAAGCTAAATCAAGCATATAAATTGTCAATTTAAAGTGTATAAATATTACTGTCTTAATTGTTTAGATTTTTAGAAGGCACATTAACTTCTTTCTCATTTACAACTCTGTGTTTGCTGCCTAAAAACATGACAGGGAGGCCGCGGGTCCTTAAAAAGTGTTAATGTCTTAAAGTTTTCCTAAAATAAGGCCTTAAAAAGTCTTAAAATGTCTTAAATTCAGATTCAGTGGGTCTTAAATATTTTTGGTCACATTACCACAAACATTTCTCCAGTCTGACAGACCCAGTGAGTGTCCATCAAGAGTACTTTTCCCCCCGCTGTAGTTACCGCGTCATCAGAGAGAATTGCGGTTACAGAATACAGTCGAACACCAGCTCGCTGTCCAGCCTCCGAACTACTTTAAATGGGTTAATGCAAGTTTACTGAAAAATGGCTTAAGAATTGTACTTGCCCGACAGGACTAATAGCCTGATTAAAACTTAAGTGACAAAATATAATCACGCATCAAAACGCGCAAATGATTCTTCTGATTTTATTACATTCAGCTTAAACAGCGATTGATAATTGATAGTGTATTTCTATTATCAATGTCGCACTGTTGAGGCTCGTGCTGCCTGTCTCTGTGAGAGACTTTCATGGAGAAATCAAATCAAATGAGCGTAACGACACACATAAAGAAACTGACAGAACAAACATACTGAGGTAAAAATTCTAAATGTTTAGTTTATTTATAGCATGATATAGTCAAGTAACATACCATGACAAGGGATCTATTTTGCTGAATATTTTCACGATTGCAAATGTTACATTGATTTTAGTTCAACAAACAAGTAGTAAAGTATATGAAGTTACTTA